TATATATATATATGTATATATTACTAATTTCAAATCCAGATCTTTGACCACTATAGATTTAAATCGAATCTGATGTTTTATAATTTCCTTCCAATAATAACCACTCTATACTACCTGTGTCCTAGGTGGCGCTGTTACGCATGTCATGGAGCGAGCTCTTCGTCCTCAACGCCGCCCAGTGCTCCATGCCGCTTCATGTGGCCCCTCTGTTGGCAGCAGCAGGCCTGCATGCATCGCCCATGTCGGCAGAACGGGTGGTGGCCTTCATGGACCACATCCGCGTCTTCCAAGAGCAGGTGGAGAAGCTGAAGGCCCTGCAGGTCGACACGGCTGAATATTCCTGTCTCAAGTCCATCGTGCTCTTTACTTCCGGTGAGTTTGAATGAAGCACATGCATCATACAAACAGCAGAGAGTCACAGGAAAACCCCATGAAATGTCAGTGGTGAAGGAGCTTGGGTCTATAACAATATGTTAATCATTGAAAAGGATGTTGAAGCAGGACTTAACTAGTGGTGGATGGCTCCAGAGTAAGTTAAGTTAAAAAATTATTAATGACCTAAAAATGTAAAATCTTTGGTATCACTCGATGGGACTTTGATGCAGGTCTACTCATACCTTATACTTATGGATTCTATAGCTCATTGACACATTTACAGATTGCATGCTAGATAATTTGGTTTGATAAGCCAAGTCCATGTTTACAGTAATATCACAACCTAAAATCACATAATCATAATACGCTTTAAAGTCCCTCACTGGCAGTGGTTCCTAACCCAACCCTACCTCTCTAAGAAAACAAATGACTTGATGTATTGGGATAAAAGGTAGTTACAAAAAACATAAAAAGACAGTTGTAACAGTCAAGAGTAAAATTATCATATCAGCTAATGTCAGTAATTTGTTGAGACTAACTCAGGTTGATTTGCAAAAGGAAACAGTCCTTTCACTTGATCTTTTCTCAAACCACAGAGGATCATGGGTAGATTTTGGTCAACACCACCTTTCTCCTGTGAGGAACTTTACTTTAATTAGTAGGCGAGTGAGCTGACTTCCGTTGGCACAGGAACATTCTGCTAATTGGTTTATTCATGTTAATGAGGACAGTCACGCAGAGTCTCAAAGTACATGTAAACAGCTTAACCTGAGTTAGAGAAATGGTCAATGGAAGGGTTATTTTAAACATAGCCATCATAAACTCTTGCGGGTCATAACATCTGTAGTATCCCTACTACAATTGAATTCAATAATACATAATACATGTAGATAAATGCTTATTGAAAATATATAATTAAGAACTTAAAAGGCAATTTTATTGTCTTATATTGTTGTTGCATCGTGCAACGGTGTTGCTGTTGCTAAGACACATGAAAATACTTGCTGTTAATACAATCTTGAGAAAATATATTTGGGCTCAAAGCTAATTTACACTAAAAACAACTAATTTAGATTCAGTGTTTTAATGTGTAACAGAAGCCCCTTTCAGACATGCACCTTGTCACATAAATCTGATGGTAATTTAACATGTTGGTCTCGAGTGAATGCTGAATGCCATCAGATTAAGGCAAAGGCAGCAGCACAGGCTGATTTTCTTTACATTAAATGCATGTCTTGTTCTGCCTTATTAATAGTACTGTAATAAATGTATCTCTAAATCATCATCTCCTTTGCACAAAAAAAGCTTTAGTAAGCCAGAAAACAACACATAAATTAACTCATAAAATTCATGAGTAAAATATTTTAGGGGATCCACTGTGAAAAGAGAAAGCAAGCATCTCTCACACTGACAGCGGCCGTTAAGTTTCAATGCCAAAAAAAGTTTTAAAATCCAGTGGGGTAGGCTGTGAGAAAATATAATGAACATTTACATAATGGACACCTATGTCTAAATGACAAAAAGTCATTCAACACACAGATGAAGCCAGCAATGTTTTGTATTCAGTTTCAAAATGGAGCTAATTAGCAGGATTATTGTTTACTAAGTAATGTGCACGAAAGTCCTGCAAGCATTTATTTTGTTATGTAGGGTCTTACAAACACACCAAGAAAATCAAATTCCTTTAAAGTTTGACCATTACTGGTTGACACAGAAGAATAAGAAGTTACTCAGAGAGTCTTAGTGCCAAGAAACATTTCTTTCCTCTGCCGTGTTGCAATCCAGTTAAAGCTCACAGACACATGAACTCAACTTCAACTGTACTTAACCCACAACCTTTTCACCCCCGCTGAGCCTGACCGAGACTTGACCTCTAATGCTGCAGCAGATATTGTCTCATTGGCTCCATATGTAAATGCTGCTGCTACAGTCCTCCCACTAGTCAGTCATGGTCTCTGCCCTCCCTGAATTTGACTGTAATTGGATCGCTCCCTCATACTGTAAAAGGCCACTATTGACCCCGTGAGAAGCTGCTTGTACCTCACTTAAATCACTTCTGTGATGGAGTTAACCGTAAGCTTTTACTTGAAGCTTTTACCTTTCTATTTATCTTTCAGTGCTCCCTTGCTGTAATTCAATTTCTGCCCATGTAGTACATTGTTATTGTATAGATACATGTTATCTGAACCCACCAATTCATATGTGTATACATCTTATCAAAAAATCACGCTAGCAGCTATGATCTGCTAAAATTGCTTCCTTGTGATATTTAGTTAACATTACCTGTAATCTTATATCTTATTTTGATGATAGTGGTAATGTCTTATCTGAATTAAACCCCTCCCGTGGCTTAGTAGAGTATAGTTAGTAGGACTTAGACAAAGAAATTGTCTTTATGCTAGCATAGCTTTGTCTTTTAATGGCTGTTTGCATCCATAGCTCTTAAAAAAAACAAACAGGACTTGAGATGAAAACCCACACCATGTGACACTCCCCACTGAGAAGCAAATGAGATTAAATGAAAATATAATGGTTTGACATCTTGAGGAAACCCATGAGATAGGTATTGTTTTGATACTGCTTATATACAAACCCTGTTGAGGTTTATCCCAACAGTCACTGGGCTCCAGTGCCAGCCAAAATACTGTCACATCTGGGATACTTCACTGAGAGATCATGCTTTGTGACCCAGGGGGAAACGGATGGTGAAGAAGCCAACACCGAGATGTCTCCTATCTGTGTTTTTTTTCATTGCATTTCCCCTTTTTTCTCCCTTGCATGGCTTGTCAGATTCATTCTGCATGTACCTATCATCTCTCCTCCATGTATGTGGGTGGCTGTGAATCCACTTCTCCCTTCTCTTCCTTGCTTTCATCAGCCATCTCTCCTTCATGATCCCATCTATTATTGAAACCAGTCATCTACCCCTCCTCCCTATGCTCCCCAAACCCAACCCCAAGCCCTGCCCAGGCCCCGGGACCCCTGCCCCCACCATGGGAGTTGAATTATGTATGGTGGGATCCAGTGAGACGAAGGATTCGCCACAGCCCCGGCCGTGACCTACATAACCCCTGTAGCCCTGAGCATCCCATGTGACTTCCCTGTGTGCGGGCAGATGTACCCACATGTATACACACAAAAATTGCACGTCTTGCCAAAAGAAGACTATATATTTAGTGAAACGTGCAGATAGTAATGCAGAAATTTGAATTTAATGGAGACAGACAGAATGCACACACACACACACACACACACTAGATAGACCCGTTAATAAACCTGACTCCTGCAGACCTGGTAGGTTGAGCTAACAGGCTCAGACAAACACCAATCGTCTCTCACCTCCCTCTGAGTCCCCTCCCTCCACTCCCTCTGTGAAGCCCAGTCCCATCAAGCCACATCAGAGAACGGGCATCTCAGTCCTGCCACCCTGATCCCTCGCCCCCACTGACCCGGTGTGTGCCCAAGGATCAGACAAAAGAACACGACGCTTGGCGTGGAAGGGCGCCCACAGAGCTGTCGCTTCGGCACGCGAAGTGGTCTCAGTCACATAGACAGCTTTGCTAATCCCAAACAGCCAGTGACTGCCTTGTCACGCAGGACCCAAAATGGCGCCCGACAAAAAAACAGTCCATCTGCCCCCCGAGTGGACAGAAATACAGCTGAAGTGGGAGCAATTATTCACTCAGAATGATGAGAATAGTTGCCGCTGGGGTTGGGTAGAGGGTTGACACACTCAATTAAAATATAGAGGTAAATAAAAAATGTTTGTTTCCTGAACTGTAGGGCAGGGTTTACACAGGGGACAGATCAAAGTGTGAGATGACAAAGGGGACATACGATGCAAGGTGACAGGTTAAAACCTACGGGCCAGCGCTTTTAGACTAAAGACCAGGCTTGAGAAGAAATTGCCCTCATCGAAAACCTGTCTTTCAAATTAGGGTTCATTCAGGGGGCAGAGTCAGAGAGCTCTCCCACTGAATGTACAGTATGTGGCGGAGTACAGTAAAATGTGTCTTTGTTTTGAGTTCACACATCCCTGACCTCCTTTGCTAAATCCCCTGCGCTCTCCCCTGCACACAGAGGGTGCGAAAAGTATCCCTCACAGTGTTACACACTCTCTCGGTTGTGCGAGACTCTTGCCAAAGCAGGGGCCGGCAGGAGGGAAGGTGTGAGGAGGCGGGAGGCAGAACATGACCTCCAGCTGCGGGGAACGGGAACGGTGTAGTGTGCTGTGAACACAGACCACAGGGGTGTAGCAGATACGTATCTCTGCTGTGACAACCTCTATTTCCTCAAGTTTGAGCAAGATTTCTCAGGTTTGAGGAATTTGAAAGGAAAAAAATACTTTATTATCCTTCTGTGTCATCTTTCTCATTTATTTCTTTTAATCAACTAGATGAGATTTAAAGTGCATGTACAGTATCAGTTCAAGACTTCACACTGAGCCACCCACTCTGAGTCTGCAAAGTATCAAAGTAGAATATTGAATTTTTAGGTTAAATTCTTGCGAAATTAAAGTTTCAGTTATCAGACTACACAATATCAACCAGATAAAAAAGATAAACGTCAGACATAACAGTTTGTCATTTGTTCCATGCAGTGGATGCATAGAGGAACACAACCCCTTCTGTGTCTATGGCACTTCACAAGACCTCAACGGAAAGATTAATATATCAGATTTTATGACCACACGCTATGACTTCTCTAACTTATGTTTTCATGGGAACTTTTCCCAGGGTTTGTAAAATCCAAGTTCTAATCCTGTGTCTCTGTGTTAATTGTTCATTTATCTCTTGTTACATGCTAAAGTAGAGTATTTTTATGACACAATCCCTCTCGTTTTTCTCCCTGTAAGATAAAAAAAAGGAGTAACTACATAAATTGATCCAAATGGGATTTGTGGTAACTAGCCACCCCTACCCATCATATAAAACTGCACTTGAGCGGGTCAGCATCTGTGCATTTCAGCTGTTAAAAACTTTGTTAAACTGTAATAGAGATCCACTTTATTCATTTAACTCAAATGCATCTCCATCTCCATCAATTTCATGCAGAGACTACTTTTTGCTCATATTTTGTTCTTGGTCCACTGATAAACCATAAATCTTTATGTTCTCTTCCTTCCTTCTAGATGCTATGGGACTGTCAGATGTTGCCCACGTGGAGAGCATCCAGGAGAAGTCCCAATGTGCCCTGGAAGAGTATGTAAGGAACCAGTACCCCAGTCAGCCAAACCGTTTTGGACGTCTCCTCCTCCGACTGCCCTCCCTGCGCATCGTCTCGTCTCCGGTCATCGAGCAGCTGTTTTTCGTTCGCCTGGTAGGCAAAACACCCATCGAGACGCTGCTTCGCGACATGCTGCTCTCGGGCTCCAGCTACAACTGGCCCTATATGCCCACCGTGCAGCGCGACCGGCCCATCTCCCTCCACTACAACGAGAACGGGCCCTGAGGTGGAGAGACAGACGAAGGAGAAGCTGCGGGACATATTCAGGCTGAACGTCCATCTGACTACTCATCCATCCTTCCTTCCCTTCATTCTCTGCATTTAACTTCTCAGCTTTCTCAGAGGAAGCACCTCCCTCCACCATTCCACTCAAAAACACAGACTGACAGTATCATCTGTTACTGTCCCGGTTACACAAGCCAGCCAATCATTCATTATGGCCATTTCAAAGACTAGGTGGCCCGTTTGCAGTCCCTCAGCCAATTGTGCATTCTGCATTTGAGATGTGGCACGAGATGGACAGGTTGGTAGAACGGGTTATTGCGCAGTTCACCAGCAGGTCTGTTGGACTCACTTCAGATGTCAGTCTCAAACCCCATGAAAACAGTGGCAGCGAAAGACAAAACATTTGCTTTATTGTTGGTGCTTGGTGCTATGCCTATATTTACAGAGGCTGTGTACAAGCATCCCAGTATGGCTAATACTGAGCAAGGGCTTTGCCAATAGGACTCTATGACCAAGAGCACAAGGCCCGTTGTATATTTACCAATTTTTGAATAAAGCCAGAAGCCATTAAAAAAAAAAGACAAATGCCAAAATGTCTTGGACTTTTTGCAGAGGACATGTTTTAATGTGTGTGTTTGTATTAGCACTGTTTATATGGAGAGAAAACTCATGATTGTGTCCATATGTACAGTATATCGTTGATTCATAGGCATCTATAGCGTATTAGGGTTCAATGGGAAAAGCTCAGGTTCAATGGGTGGGTAGACAGACAGACAGACAGACGGACGGACAGAAAGACATGCCAATATCAGTACAAGAGCAAAAAGACAAACCCAGCAAAATTTACACTTATCAGCAGCCTGTGCCAAAGCTGAAAAATGCATATTGTTTGGATATTTTTGTGGTAGTGTTGGTGATGACAATTTAATGTTTGGTTTGTCTATAATTTGACTATATGCTTGTTTTTGGGTCTCAGGGGGAGAAAAGGAGTCTGTTAAAAAAATACAAATAAAAGCTTAGGCACTTGCATTGTAACCTAGTCAGAACCTACACTTATTCACTCCTGTAAAATCACAGCACTGGTAGATTTTTGCTACCTTTATGCCATTTGATCGATCTACCTTTTTACTTATTCAAAAGGCCCATTAAAACTCCTTACATGTTTTATCACAGGAGTGACAAAACTACTCATCCTCATTGTTGTTTTTTAGTCATGATTGTCAATATTGGAGCTTTTGGATTG